TACGCATCTATCTCATCCTCTCACTATTCTATATACAGTGTGGGGCAACACCAACCAACCCGGATCCCTCCCCAGCCCACGGGGTAGGTTGGCACCACAGCTGTGGTGCGAGGGCAAGGCTGTACCAGTCCCTCATCACGACGGTGACGAGCAATGGCTTCACATTTCGAGAGTGGTGTGGCGAGGGCCTACTACCGGTTGGGCGGGGTTGGGTTTAAACAGCCAGCCCCTAGACCGCATCATCTGGACGGCTGACAACTCGTTGACTCCAGCCGGAATGCTCAACAAGAGAAGGGCAGGGTGGCCTTCAGGTTGCATGGGCCCTGCAAAAATATAAGGGCAGAGTTCAGGGGAGAAAATAGAGGAGTCAATCTCAGTTCGCAGCCAGGAGGCTGCGCTAAAACCCTGTTGCATTTTTGGCGCACAACGAGTTTCCCCATCGGGAAATGTCGACAACCTTTTTCGGGTTTAGAGCGGTGTAGAGGGGGCAGGAATATGGAGCAGAAGGGTGCGGTCGTTGTCGTAAGACCGACCAGTCGTTTAGTTGGTCGCAGTAGAGGCAAACGGCCAGCGGTAGCCTGCAGAGGTCGTGCAGAGGTCGTTTTGGACGGCGCCCAGGGGTTTCTTCTTCAGGCAACAGCGTGGAGGGAAACGGGAAAATGGGGGGCGTTTGGGAAGGCCGGAGGGTCAGCCGGTGGGGTCTCCAAAATGCGCTCCAAGACCCCACACCCTCCGGGCTGCGCCTCCGCGCCATGCACGGTACACAGTTGGGCAAGGCACACATATTGCATTAAGGACATCGTCTGTTCAATTCCCATCGGCCTCATGTACCTACATGGGCATACTTTATGCCCGCCATCTAGAAATAGACCACTGCCCCCCCCCAATCAGCAGGTACTGCTAATGTTCGTACGGGGAGGGGAGAGGAGTGGAGGCACAGCGACTGGCCACTCGGATGAAGCTCGGGCGTGACACTACCGCTGATGCCTGGCCTGTATCGCCCACCCGCATGTTCGCTCCTTGGAAGCTTGAATACCTATGTGGCTGCTACCCGCATGTTCGCTCCTTGGAAGCTTGAATACCTATGTGGCTGCTACGGGCTTTTTGTTGAAAAAGAGTACTGCAGTTATTGAAACAAAGAGATATGCCGCAAGTGGCATTCAGTAGGTCTTGGGTTCAATCCCCATTCACCTCATATACCTTCTTGTGCAAGCTTGGCGCCCGCCACCAAGAGATAATGCCGTTGGTCCCCCCAAGTGGCATTGAGCAGAGACTGCTGATGTTCATAGGGAACGAGGACCGGAGGGGAGGCACAGTGACTGGCCCATCGAAGAAGCTCGGTCCTGATGCTACTAACTGACCCCTGGCCGGTATCGCCCACCTGCTGTAGCAGGTATCACACCTGCAGCTCCCGCATGTTCCCCAGTTGGAGGCTTGAGCACGATGTGGCTGCCACAAGGTTCCCCGTAATACCATAATGACAATAAAAATGGCGGGAAAGGTCATCCTGTCCAGATTTGACAGGTAATTGAGTTGGTTGGGCTTAAAGAATTAGCCTTTTACAAAAACAAAACAAAAAACAAAGAGGTATTTATCCAGCGGCCTAGAGCACCGCAGTTTTTTAAACAAAGAGGTATTTATCCAGCAGCCTAGCTCAATTGGTGAGGCATGCAAGTGGCATTTAGGAGGTCTTGCCCTCATGTACTTTCCTGGGCAAACTTAAACCTGCCTCATAGAGATATGTCGTCGGTCCCCCCCCAGCGGTATTGAGCAAAGACTGCTGATGTTCATAGGGGGAGGGGACCGGAGGGGAGGCAAGGTGACTGGTATCGAAGAAGCTCAGTCCTAATGCTACTGGCTAACAATGTTTCTAATTCATTGCATCTCTTTCGCCTTCCATTTTTGTTTTGTGGGTTTTTCCGGTTTTGTCGGTTTCTTGACTTTTATTGGCGCCTTTTTCTTTTGGGTCACTTTTTGTTTTCATTTTATCTACTTTTTTATTTTTGTGATCACTTCTTTTGTTGCCTTCCGTTTTTGTTGTCCCCTTTTCCTTTCCAATCGCCTTTTCATTTTATTTATAGCTTCATAAGTTCGTTCCCGATTTAAAAAATAAACCTTGCCCAAGCCTCTACTATGCCTTGGTTGGCCTTGCAAGAACCCTGTTATGCACCAAGACAAAACGAACTGGTGCAATGCAAACTTTTTTTGTCGGCGTCGCACCGGCGGTCGAAGAGGTGCAATAGGATGAATCCCTAAGAATCATGGTTGCACACAAAAAAGTTGGAACAAAATGGTTGGAAAAGGTACATGTGGTTTTAGCCTGGCTGCACCATTTCTCTACAGTTTTGCAGAGGAGTAGGAAGTGGACGAGGGTGACGTCAAGTGGGCATCGGATATGTACAGAGCAAGGTTTGTTGTTTGTGTGTCAAAATGGAGAGTGGTGACAAGCGGTGGTATTATCCTCACATTGTCCATCACATTCAAGGCTACAAGGGGGCATCTATCGGCTCATCCATAACACAAAGATTTGTTCACGCACTTGATGTAAATTACAGACATCCTCGTAGAGGATACATTGGTGAAACATTTCTGCATGTTATGTGATGTACTATCACCTATCCTTTAAAACATCCTGAATCCCGTCAATAAGAAGAAAATTACTCTTCGGGAGCTTGTTTCCCATACGAAGATGTTTGTCATAGTTACTTACTGTTTCGCTCATGGCAATACTTACAGTGTTATAGTCCATTTAGGGTTAGTTGCAACACGACTGAACGTTGTATATATGCAACACATTGCAAAGCGTGTCAATAACGAAAGTCGATCACATATTTCGGATGGTGTAGATAGTAGGGATGAGGCTAACGTTTTCGACCCTTCGAGAGGACACATAATAATCATAATTGATGAGCCTTTTTGTGTTTGCATGATCAATTACACTCATATTGTCATCGAACGAGCCAAAAAAGTTAAATCCCCTTTTGGTGTCGCCTAGGTACCCCGGGCGGACCACTTCTCGTGCACCTGGGTCTCCCAACTAGGGGCCTCGGGTCTCCAAGCGACCTCGGGTCAAAAAATCCTGGTAACGTAGTTTTATACTACTTCTTCTATATGAGAAATATGGCAAAAACGATTAAAAATATTTACAAACAGATCCGAGTCCACACCTATTATATGACCTTAAATATATATAAAGTAGGCTACCAGTCGGGCCGCCCGGATCACCCTATTTTCCCGGATGACCCAGTCGTGCAATGCCCAGGGAAGGTCCTAACAAAAAATAATAATAATAATAAATCCGAAAAACAAACTATGTTATGCAGAAAACTAAATTGAACACCTTTTGCCTTAGGGTCATACTAAGATTCTTTACCGAATTTAAAATAAAAAATAAAAACTTTTTTATTTTTTTTTATTTTTTTTGGCCCGGCTTAACAAATGGCTACTCTGGTAGCCTAGTATATAAATAATAAACTAATATAAAGTTTATTTTCAAACTACATGCAAAAAACTTGTTTGCTTCACAAAACTCAAATTTACATGCACTATTGTTACAATTTAAAAAGCTAAAAACTGTGGAGCATCGTGTTCCGGTTCGGTGAACGAACTCGAACGTTCAAGACCGAACACGAACGGGCGTCGAAACTCTCCAAACTCGAACATGAAAAAAAAAAAAAAAAAAGTTTTTCCAAAAAATCTGAAAAAAAATATATGTTATGTAAAATAATAATACA